AACCTGGGGAGGGAAGTAGAAGTTGAAATTCAAGAGGCACAGAGAATTCCCCTCAGACATGATTTGATTCGATCTTCTCCACGACATATCATAGTGAAACTGGCAAAATATAAGGACAAAGAGAATTCTGAAGGCAGCTAGGGATAAAAGGGCCCTAACATACAAAGGGAAACCTATCAGAGTGGTGACAGACCCATCTATTGAAACGTGGCAGGCCAGAAAGGAATGGCAGGAAATCTTCAATGTGATGAACAGAAAAAAGTATGCAGCCAATAATTCTCTATCCAGCAAGCCTGTCACTCAGAATAAAAGGAGAGATAAAGGTATTTCCATAAACAAAAATTGAAAGAATTTGTCACCACTAAGCCAGCCCTACAAGAAATCCTGAGGGGGACTCTCTGAGGGAAATGTTGCAAGGAACGCAAGGTACCAGAGACACCACCAAAAGCATGAATCCCAGAAGGACACAATGTCTCTAAACCCATATATTTCAATAACACTACTGAATGTAAATGGGCTGAATGCTCCAATCAAAAGACCCAGGGTAGCAGAATGGATAAAAAACCAAAACCATCTATTTGCTGTCTACAAGAAACTCACTTTAGACTGGAGGACACCTTCAGATTGAAAGTAAAGGGTTGGAGAAATATATACGATGCCAATGGAAGTCAAAAGAAAGCTGGAGTAGCCACACATATATCAGAAAAACTAGACTTTAAATTAAAGACAGTAACATGGGATGAGTAAGGGCATTATATAATAATTACAGGGTCTATCCATCAGGAAGGACTAACAATTATAAATGTCTATGTACCGAATATGGAAGAACCGAAATCTATAAAACAATTAATCACAAACAGAAACACTCTTATGGATGAGAATGTGCTAATAGCAGGGGACTTTAATACTCCACTTACAGCAATGGATAGATCAAGTAGACAGAAAATCACTAAAGACACAATGGACTTGAATGACACACTGGACCAGATGGGTTTGACAGATATATTTAGAACTCTACATCCTGAGGCCATGGAATTCACTTTCTGCTCAAGTGCACATGGCACATTCTCTAAGAGAGATCACATACTGGGACATAAAGCTGCCCTCAATAAATATAAAAGAATTGAGATCATACCATGCACACTTTCATACCCCAATTCTATGAAACTTGAAATCAATCACAGGAAGAAGTCTGGAAAACCTCCAAAAACATGGAGGTTAAAGAACACCCTACTAAACAACCAATGGGCCAATCAGGCAATTAGAGAAGAAATTTAAAAATATATGGAAACACATGTAAATGAAAATAAAATAATCCAAACTCTATGGGATGCAGTAAATGCAGTCCTAAGAGGAAAGTACATTGCACTCCAGGCCTATTTCAAGAAATTAGAAAAAGCGCAAGTGCAAAATCTAACAGCACACCTAAAGAAACTAGAGGGAGAGCAACAGGAGCACCCTAAACCAAGCAGGAGAAGACAAATAATAAAAATCAGGGCAGAAATAAACAATATAGAAACCAAAAAAACAGTTGAACAGACTGACAAACCCAAGAGTTGGTTTTTTGAAAACATGAACAAAATTGAAAACCTCTAGCCAGGCTTCTCAAAAAGAAAAGAGAGAGCACCCAAATAGACAAAATCATGAATGAAAATGGATTTATTACAACCAACTCCTCAGAAGTACAAGCAATTATCAGGGAATACTATGAAAAATTATATGCCAACAAACTGGACAACGTAGAAGAAATGGGCAAACTCCTAAACACATACGCACTACCAAAATTCACATGGGAATTTCAGAGAGAAAATCTGAACAGACCCATAACTAGTGAGGAAATCGAATCAGTTATCAAAAATCTCCCAACAAATAAGAGCCCAGGGCCAGAAGGCTTCCCTGGGGAATTCTACCAGACATTTAAACAGAATTAATACCCATTCTTCTCAAGCTATTCTAAAAAACAGAAATCGAAGGAAAACTTGCAGACTCATTTTATGAAGCCAGCATCACTTTGGCTCCCAAGCCAGAGACCCAGCAAAGAAAGAGAACCACAGGCCAATATCCTTGATGAATACAGATGCAAAAATCCTCAACAAGATACTTGTAAATCGAATCCAACAGCACATAAAAAGAGTTATACACCATGATCACGTGGGATTCATTCCTGGATTACAGGGCTGGTTCAATATTTGCAAATCAATCAATCTGATCCATCACATCAACAAAAGAAAAGATATAAACCATATGACCCTGGTGATAGATGCAGAAAAAGCATTTGACAAGATACAGCATCACTTCTTAATAAAGACCATCAAGAAAGTCGGGATAGAAGGAACCTAGTGAAACATTATAAAAGCCATCTATGAGAAACCCTCCGCTAATATCATCCTCAATGGGGAAAAACTGAGAGCTTTCCCCCTGAGATCAGGAACACGACAGGGATGTCCACTCTCACCACTGCTGTTTCACATAGTGCTGGAAGTCCTAGCATCAGCCATCAGACAACAAAAGGAAATCAAAGGCATCAGAATTGGCAAAGAGGAAGTCAAACTCTCACTTTTTGCAGACGACATGATACTCTACATAGAAAATCCGACAGACTCCACCAGAAGCCTACTAGGACTGATCCATGAATTCAGCAATGTTGCCAGGTATAAAATCAATGTACAGAAATTGGTTGCATTTTTATACACCAATAATGAAGCAACAGAAAGGGAAATAAAGAAACTGATCCCATTCACAATTGTACAAAAACCATAAAGTATCTAGGAATAAACCTAACCAAAGATATAGGTGATCTGTATGATGAAAACTATAGAAAACTTATGAAGGAAACTGAAGAAAACACAAAGAAATGGAAAACATTCCATGCTCATGGGTTGTTGAATAAATACTGTAATAATGTCATTACTACCCAAAGCAATCTATACATTCAATGCAATCCCAACCAAAATTGCACCAGCATACTTCTTAAAACTAGAACAAACTATCCTAAAATTTGTATGGAACCACAAAAGACCGCGAAGAGCCAAAGTACTTTGAAGAAGAAAACCAAAACGGGAGGCATTACCATCTCAGACTTTAGCCTCTACTACGAAGCTGTCATCATCAAGACAGGATAGTATTGGCACAAAAACTGACACGTAGACCAATGGAATAGAAGAGAGAACTCAGAATTGGACCCAAAAATGTACAGCCAACTAATCTTTGACAAAGCAGGAAAGAGTATCCAATGGAAAAAAGACAGCCTCTTTAGCAGATGGTGCTGGGAGAACTGGACAGCAACATGCAGAAGAATGAAACTAGATCATTTTCTCACCCCACACACAAAAATAAGCTCAAAATGGATAAAGGACCTGAATGGGAGACAGGAAATCCTCAAGAATGGGAGACAGGAAACCCTCAAAATCCTAGAAGAGAAAGCAGGAAAAAAACCTCCTTGAGTTGTTTTCTCAACTGCAGCAATTTCTTACATGACACATTCCCAATCGCAAGTGAATCAAGAGCAAAAATGAACTACTGGGACCTCATCAAGATAAAAAGCTTCTGCACGGCAAAGGAAACAATCTATAAAACTAATAGGCACCTGATGGAATGGGAAAAGACAGTTGCAAATGATATATCAGATAAAGGGCTAGTATCCAAAATCTATAAGGAACTCATCAAACTCCACACCCGAAAAACAAATAATCCAGTGAAGAAATGGGCAGAAGGTATGAACAGACACTTCTCCAAAGAGGACATCCAAAAGGCCAACAGTCATATGAAACAATGCTCAGTGTCTTTCATCATGAGGGAAATACAAATCAAAACCATACTGAGATACCACCTCACACCAGTCAGAGTGGCTAAAATGAACAAATCAGTAGACTCTAGATGCTGGTGAGGATGTGGAGAAATTGGCACTCTCCTACACTGTTGGTTGGAATGTAATCTGGTGCATCTTCTCTGGAAAACAGTGTGGAGGTTCCTCAAAAAATTAACTATATAACTCCCCTATGACCCAGCAGTAGCACTCCTAGGAATTTACCCAAGCGATACAAGAATGCTGATGCATAGGGGTCCATATACCCCAATGTTCATAGCAGCACTCTCAACAATAGCCAAAACATGGAAAGAGCCTAAGTGTCCATCAACGGACGAATGGATCAAGAAGATGTGGTTTCTCTATACAATGGAATACTACATGGCAATGAGAAAGAATGAAATCTGGCCATTTGTAGCAATGTGGATGGAAATTGGTGGTGTTATGCTGAACGAAATAAGACAGGCAGAGAAAGACAGGTACCATATGTTTGCACATATAGGTGGATTAGGAGGAAGCTAACAGAGGACAAAGCGGGAACTGAAGGGGAAAATAGTTGGGGAGAGGGAGGGAGGCAAACTATGAGAGACTCTTGAATGCTGAGAACAAACTGAGCACTGAAGGGGTGTGGGGGAGAGGGGAAGGGGTTGATGGGCACGAAGGAGGACACTTGTTGGGATGAACACTGGGTGTTATCTGTAAACCAACTCGACAATAAACTATTTCAGGAAAAATAAATAAATAAATAAAAATTGCATAGTAATTTAAGTAAGTTTTAGGTTAAGTGAATTTTTAAATTTTGTCAACCTATTCATTATATTACAAAGTATTAAAAGACCTAGAAACAAGTTCCTTGGCTATTACTTTACATAAAATTATCATGTATTCAAAACATAAATATAGGTTTCAAGAAAGGGGAGAACATGTTAGTTAAGCATGCACTTGGAATGAAGATACAATATTGTTTGCTAACAGTTATGCCATAGGTACCAGACTTCTTAAACACATCTAAAATTATTAAGCCTGGTCAGGATATATTGGATTAGAAACTTAGGTTCCAGAGACTCCAAATTCCTTTTCAGATCCAGTTGAATAAAGCTGTTACAAAACCAAGAAAAAATAAAAAGGAAAGAAACCAGCCTGTATTGAATAATGTTTTGATTATTACAATGATTATAAAGGCCAATCTCCTTACCTAGGCTGGAATAAACGTGGCTAAGAATACGGGCTGGTTGTACTCTGATAGGGTATACCTCAGCAATGGTCTCCACATCAATTCCCTTGTCCTTCAAAATGGTCTTGATTTCTTCTGTCTCAGCCAGAATGGAAACTAAGAAAGAAAGGAAGAAAGATGTGGTCAACAGGAATTTTATTTCAATAGGAACCTAAAAATCTCTCAAGGCCACAGAATTTCTTTTGAATGGAAGAGAAAGAAAATGGGAGGAAATCAAGTTATTGAGGAACTTTGATGAAACAAGTACCATGCTAGGTACATAAAACTATTATCTAAATGGAAAAGGAAAAAGGATCTCTTGACTAGAGTATTAGATTTTGCTTTTTTGGCTAAGTACCTATGTACTCCTAGAGATTCCCACACTCTCTTTACATCTGAGATTCCATGTGTAAGTAGGAAAAAAAAATCCAGTGTGAGGTGTGTTATAGCTTTGGTAACAATTGATTCTCCAAAGCTCTTTTCTATTCTTACTCTTAAGACCAGAAAGGATTTTGAGGGTAATAAAGAATAAGAACTACTCTATACCTAGAGAATGGTAGAAGATAAAGTAAACCAGAAATACAGAATTGAGGTACCAGAGTTAAAATTGTGTGTGGTTCTTTTGGGAGCTAGGGGAAAGGGATTCTACTTCTCTAGATTCTGAGCCTGCCATGCCTGGACAGCTCCCTTTTCTTCCTTTTATATTCATGTCTCTGAAGTGGTTATCATACTCACAAAGGAAGAGGCCAGGCCATCCTGACTCTTTTGTTTACTCTCCCTCTAGGGGACAGATGGCTGGTTGGGGGCTACTAATCCTAGTGGGGCCTCAACTAGTTTGACACTAAACACCAGGGGCAAACATGTCCTCTCTTCCTATTCCTCTAGTGCTGGTAGATGTGTTGAACTGGATAATGGAAAAATGAAGGTACCATTTGGTTCATTCAAGTTTACTAGCATTTTCTATGTTGAGTATCTAGGGCAAAAATCTAGTAACCAGAGTGCCACTTTCTTTATCTTTGCCATTATCTTTTGTGTGTTATCTTTCTATCTTGGGGGCCTTATGGTATCGTGTTGCCGTGGTCTGGGTCAGGATATGCAGGATATGGTGATCATAGAGTCCCGTGGACATAACACAATCTTGATTACTTAGAACTACAAACACGAAAATGACAAAGATTCTCCAGGGAAAATGTACAAAGGGAGAATGATAATGTGGCTAAGGAAAGTCCCGGAAAACACATGTGGTTATCCATTCATTTATTAACAAATACTAATTAAGCACCTAAGTGGATGAGGTACTATGCTAGGCATTATGGATAAACAGATGGATAAATTAGTCTCTCTCTTAAAGAGCTTACAGTGTAATGGAAGGGACACATACATAAACTGATTATAAAATAAGCTGCTAGGTAAACAAAGATATACACAAAACATTATAAGTCACCCAAGTATGACACCTATCATATCAGGGACTGGTAGGGAGTAGTTTCAGAAAAGGTCTTCTGAGAGAGTTGATATCTTAGCTGAGTTTGAAAGAATGGATGTTAGCCAGGAGAAAGAAAGGAATAGGAATGGGAAAATCTATTTTAGGTAGAAGGTACACAATGGTCATAAAACATGGAAATGAAAAAAGAATGTGTATGTGTTGGTGGTGGGGAACTACATACATTTCAGTATTGCTGTAGCATAAAATACCTTGCATGGTGGTAAGAAAAAGAATCCGGTAAGGCAGACACAGTCTAGATATTTATGGAGGGCATATATGTCACTTTAAGTATTTTGTATTTTATCCTTGGGTAATGATTTCCAAACTTAATTCTACTAAGCTTCAAGGATCTGCAGAGGGCAATGCAGTTGGTAGCAGGAGGAGGGAGGACTGAAAGAGAGTCAAATGAGCAACACTCTGGGGCACCAGGAATACTTTCAACCCCAACAGCTGAGCTCTTTTTTTTTTTTTACTTTATGTTTTATAAAAACATTTAGAAAATGACACCTATGTGCTAGGCACTGCCAAATGCTAGGGGTACAGAGATAGGCATGATCCCTGGAGAAAATGACACTGACACTGAGTTCTGTTAGAAGGCTGAATGGAAATTAATCTGGCAAAGGTGAAGGTAAAAGTATGAGAGAAGCTGTCCCAGACAGAAGAAAAAGCACAAAGACTCAAGGGCAAAATGGAACAAGGGAGATATAGGAATTATATGATGTTCTTTACAGCAGGAGCATGAAGTGTGAAGGGGAGATGGTAAAAATTGACAATGGAGACAGGGTCAGACACCAGATCCTCAAGGGCCTTATAAACCATATGAAAAAGGTTGGCAATGGAAACCCTTGTAGAGTTGTAATCAGGAAAATAATATGTCCATATCTGTACCTTAAAAAACATATTAATGCTGATGGTTAAAGAATAAGCTGATACACTGTAGTGGGCCTACTCTGAAGACAGAGAAGCCACTTAAAAAGTCTATTGCAGTAATGCAGTGAAAAATGCTTATTACCTAGATTAGGATCATGACATTGGTACTGAAGAGGACTGTACAGATTTCAGAATCATTTAGAAGGTAAAGAAATCAGGATTTGTGAACTGGTTAAATATACGAGGTGAGAGATGGGGAGATACTGAGAATGATTCTCCATGAATTTATATGTGTAACTGAGAATGTTGTGTGCCTTTAATGACACAGGAATATAGGGAGAAAAGCAGGCAAGAATGATGTAGTAGTAAGAGGGTGATTTTAGACATGCTGGGTTTTTTATTTTTTTTAATTTTTATTTATTTATTTTGACAGAGAGAGAGCAGGTAAATAAGCAGGGGAAGGGCAGAGAGAAAGAGAGAGGGAGACAGAATCCTAAGCAGATTCCACCCTCAGCCCTGATGCAGGGATCGATCTCATGACTGTGAGATCATGACCTGAGCTGATATGAAGAGTTGGATTCTTAACCAACTGAGCCACTAGACATGTGCCTCTAGACATGCTGAGTTTGAAGTGCATGTGAGACATTCAAGTGGGGCTGTCTTAAAGGACAGTAATTTGGATTCAGGAATTATTAGCATACAAAGAGATGAGATGCGTCAAGGAGAATACACAGGGAAAAAGATAAGAGAACTCAGAATACAACCTTGAGAAAGTTCAACGTGTAAGAAATGGGCAGATAAAAAAAAAAGCCTAGGGTGGAAATGAGGAGTTCTTATCTCAAGGCTTGCATTTTCTCTATGGTATAGGAGGTAAAGTCATCTTCTGAGAGGGAAGAAGTTGAACTAGGGAGAGGGAGAAGGTTTGGAATAGAAGGAGGCAGAGAGATCAGAACAAATATTCTAAGTAAGACGATCTATGGATATAATCCCTAGGAATATCAACAGTTAAGGGGCAAAGAGAAGAAGAAGCCCAGAATGAGGCAGAGAAATGCAAAATTCAGGTTTAAGGAGACCCAAGAGATGGTATCACAGAAGGCATGCAAGTTAAGAGTTTCTGGAAAGATAATAAATGAAACAAAAAGATCTAGTAGGATACAGATTGAAAAATATCTACTGAATTTTTCAATAACTTTAGCAAAAGCATTTTCAGAGGAGTAATAAGCCACATTTAAAAGGACTGTAGAATGCATGGAATACAAAGAAGCGATATTCAGGTGAGAAAGGAAGGATAGGATTACTAGAGGGTGATGGGTATGTAAATGAACTAAAAAACAGAACCAACAGAGAAGAGGAGTTTGAAGATTAGAGGAAAGAGTAGGTTTCTAGCAGGGCTGGGGTTCAGGATAGGATCAAGCATTAGAAGGAGGATTCAGTCTTGAAGAAGAGAAGAAACACCTTTTCTGAGACTGGAGAAAAGGGGGCAAGGATAAGTAAAGATATAAGTAAAAATGTGGTGGGAGGTTAGGAAACAGATAGGGATCATAACATTAAAATTATCTAGCTAGATTAAGATATTTACCCTTGTTAGCAGGCCAAGAAAAAGGATGAAAACAAGGGATGGGCTTGAAAACAGAAAATTTGGAATAGTGGCTGAAAAGAATGAAAATGCTGAGTAACAGTAAGAACAAAGACTAACAAGGAGCACTGTTGGCCTAGCTGGGTTGGAAACTGTAGAATTACAGTGCAACCATGTGCTGATTTGTGTGATTTTTTTTCCAGTAGATTTAAGCAGGCCAGATATAGGATCAGAAAATGCAGAAAGGAAGAGTCTGAGAAGATGACAGACTACAAGGACCCTATGATCATCTCGTCCCATAGACATAACTATATAACAATCACATCAGTATAAATAACCCAGAAAACAATATGAAGACTGGCAGAACAAACTCCACAACTTAAGGTAGAGAAGAGGCCACACTAAAGAAAGTAGAAAGGGTGAAGATGTGGTTTGGGAGCAAAACAGACTGTGGCCATCTGTAGCAGGGAGGGAGCCAGTGATGCAGAGAAGGACAAAAAACAGATTATTACACCAAGGAGCCCAAATGGGGAAAATGAATCCCCATAACACTTGGCTTTGAAAGCAAGAGGGGATGAATTTTGTAAATTCCTACAACCAGCAGGACTTTAAAGCGTGGACTTTTAAAAATCAGCAGTCTCAGCTCTAGGAGAACCCAGAGGGCATTAGGAAGTAGAATTCCTGCCCTTTAAGAAACTGCAACAAAACCCAACAGTGATATAGTGTGGAAGCAGCAGTTTGAAACACACTAGGGATGGATGGGAGGGAGAGTTATTTACTCATCTCAGAGCATGTCCCTGAGAGGTGGAGATCACAGTGAGACCCTTCCAAGAATAAAGGAGCCGGCAGGTACCATTTCCTTCCCTCACCATTCATCAACACATGACCACTGGCAGGGACCAGCAGAGTGCTGCAACTTGCGATCTAACTTGCTTACACCAAGCCCTGCCATTCCCACTTTTGGGTGGATCTGCCCTTCCCAGTCATGCTAGCTTCAGTCGTGGCACTGCAGGTCCCCTCCCCCAGAACACAGGTATATCCCACCAACACCTTATATCCCAATCCACATGTTCTGTGGGACTAAAGTTCCAGTGCCAGTGGCAGGTCTCATTTTGCAAGCTGACAGGTACACATCTTGCTAAAACATGCCCCACACAGCCAGGAATCAAACACTGCTCATAATAGGCAAGGAGAGCCTCTGCAGACAACTGGACTGAAGGAAAAAGAGGTCACGACTCAAGAGTAGGGCATACACAGCACACATAGGAGATCCTTCCTGAAGCTCCAGGTCCTGGGGAATAGGACTCTACACTGCAAGACACTACAGGACCTCTTCTTCATAAGGCTATTATCATTAGGAACAACAGAAGTAGGTGACTTTCCTAACAAAGAAAAAGACATGGAGAGTTAAACAAAATGAGGAGATGGAGGAATATGTTACAAAAGAAAGAAAAGGACCAAATCACAGCAAGAGACTTAACTAAAGCAAATATAAGTAGTATTCCTGATAGAGAATTCGAAGTAATGCACTTTTAAAGATATTTGTTGAATTAGAGAAAAGAGTGGAAGCCATCAGGGAGACCTTTAACAAAGAGACAAAAAAAAAAATAACCATCAAAGATGAAGAAGACAATAACTGAAATTAAAAATACACATGATGGAATAAATGGGAACCTAGAGGAAGTAGAAAAACAAATTATTGACCTGGAAGACAAAGTAATGGAAAACAATTAAGTTGAGTGAATGAGAGGGAAAAAATATTATACAAAGTGAGAACAGTCTTAGGGAACTCAGGGAATCCATCAAGGTAATAACATTCACATTAGAGATATCCTAGAAGAAGAAGAGAGAGACTAAGAGGTAGAAAATTTATTTGAAGAAATAACAGCTGAAAATATCCCTAATCTGGAGAAGGAAACATATCCACATCCAGGAGGCACAGAGATCCCCACAAAAATGTCAACCCTAGGAGGTCCACACAGAGACACATAGTAATTAAAATGGCAAAAAGTAGTGATGAATAATTTTCACAGCAGCAAGAGAGAAGACAGTTACATATAAGGGAAACTCCATAAGTCTATCAGCAGATTTTTCAGCAGATTTTTGCAGACTAGAAGGGAGTGGCATGGCATATTCAAAATGTTGGAAGGGAAAAATCTTCAGCTAAGTATACTCTATCCAGCAAGGCTATCAATCAGAATAGGAGAGATAAAAAGTTTCTCAGACAAATTAAAACCAAAGGAGTTCATGACCACTAAACCAGCTCTACAAGAAAGGAGTGGAAAGGAAAGATCATAAGTAAGAGTATGAAAAGTAATAAAATAAGTATTTTACTTACAAAAGCATTAAAAATAAGTATTTCTGCAAAACTCAGTCAATGGATTCATAAAATAAAAGGATGGAGAATATGACACCATACACCTAAAGTGTTGGGAGGGATTAATGAAGAATGGGTTCAAACTTAAATAGCCATCAACATATAGAACAGTATAGTCAAAAGATGTTACATACAAACCTAGCATAACCACAAATAAAAAGCTAGTAATAGATTTGCAGAGAATAAAGAGAAAGGAATCCATGTATATCACTAAAGAAAGGCAACAAACCATGAAAGAGCATAAGAGAAGAAAGGATCCGCGGATAAACTACAAAAAAGCCCACAAAACAAGTAACAAAATAGTACTAACTACATATCTATCACTAATTACTTTGAATGTAAATGGACTAAATGCTCCAATCAAAAGACAGGGTGAAAGGATGGAGGAAAAAAAGATCCATCTATATCCTGCCTACAGGAGACTCCTTTCAGACCTAAAGATACCTGCAGATTGCAAATGATTGTCAAAAGAAAGCTGGGGTAACAATACTTATATCAGACAAACTAGACTCTAAAACAAAGGCTTTAACAACAGACAAAGAAGGATACTATATAATAATAAAGGGAACAATCTAACAAGTGGATGTAACAATTATAACTGTTTATGCATCGAACATGGAAGCACCCGAATACACAAAAAAATTAATAACAAATATAAAGGAACTGATAGTAATACAATAATAGTAGGAGACTTTAACACCCCACTTACACAAGTGGACAGTTTACCCAAACAGAAAGTCAACAAGGAAACAGTGGCTGTAAATGACACACTGGACTAGGTGCGTTTAACAAATGTTTCAGAGAATGCTATCACTAAACAGGAGAATAAACATTCTTCTCAAGTACATATGGAACATTCTCTGGTATAGATCACAATTAGGCCACAAAACAAGTCTCAACAAATTTAAAAAGGGTACAGTCATACCATGCATCTTTTCTGACAACAACACTACGAAACTAGAAATCAACCACAAGAAAAAAATCTGGAAAGACCATAAATACTTGGAGGTTAAATAACATGAACAATGAATGGGTCAATCAGAAAATAAAAGAAGAAATAAGAAAGTACACAGAAACAAATGAAATGAAAACACAATGGTCCAAACTCTTTGTGATACTGCAAAAGTGGTTCTAAGAGGGAAGTTTACAGCAATACAAGCCTATCTCAAGAAGGAAGAAAAATCTCAAAGAAAAACCTAAATGTACACTTAAAGGAGGTAGAAAAAGAAGAATAACCAAAACCCCAAACCAGCAGAAGCAATGAAATAGTAAATAAAAAATAGATTAGAGCAGAAATAAATGATATAGGAACTAAAAATCAATGGCACAGATCAATGAAACCAAGAGGTTATTCTTTGAAAAGATCAACAAAATTGATAAACCTCTTACCAGAGTTAACACCTATTCTCAAACTATTCCAAAACATAGAAGAGGAAGAAAACTTCCAAACTTATTCTACAAGGCCAATTATCACCATGATACCAAAACCTGATGAAGACACCACCAAAAAAAAAAAAAAAAAAAAAAAAAGAATTACAGGCCAATCTCTCAAAAATATACATGTAAAGATCTTCAACAAAATATTAGCAAACAAATCCAATAATACATTTAAGAAAAAACATTCACCAGGCTGACCAAGAAGTTAAAGAGGAAGTTAAAAGGTACATGGAAGCCAACGAAAATGATAACACCACAGCCCAAAACCTCTGGGATGTATATAAGAGGGAAGTATATAGCAAACCAGGCCTTCCTAAAGAAGGATGAAAGGTCTCAGATAAACAACCTAACCTTACACCTTAAAGAGCTGGAAAAAGAACAGCAAATAAAACCCCAGGCCAGCAGAAGACAGGAAATAATAAAGATTAAAGCAGAAATCAATGCTACAGAAACAAAAAAACAAACCAACAAACAAAAAACAAACCAGTAGAACAGATCAATCAAACCAGAAGCTAGTTTTTTGAAAGAATTAACAGAACTGATAAACCCCTAGCCAGTTTGAAAAAAAAAAAAGCGGGGCACCTGGGTGGCACAGTTGGTTAAGCGTCTGACTTTGGTTCAGGTCATGATCTCACCACTCATGAGTTTGAGCCCCATGTCGGGCTCTGTGCTGACAGCTCAGAGCCTGGAGCCTTCTTCCAATTCTGTGTTTCCTTCTTTCTCTGTCCCTCTTCTGCTCACACATTCTCTCTTTCTCTCAAAAAGAAATAAACATTAAGAAAATTAAAAAAAAAAAAACAAAAAGGAAAGGACCCAAATAAATAAAATCAAGAATGAAAGAGGAGTAATCACAAGCAACATAGCAGAAATACAAACAATAATAAGAGAATATTATGAGGAATTATACACCAAGAAAATGGACAATCTGGAAGAAATGGACAAATTCCTAAAAACGTATAAACTACGAAAACAGGAAGAAATAGAAAATTTGAACAGACCCATAACCAGTAAAGAAATAGAATTAGTAATCAAAAATCTCCCAAAAAACAAGAGCCCAGGGCTAGATGGCTTTCCAAGGGGCTTCTACCAAACATTTAAGGAAGAGTTAACACGTATCCTCTTGAAGCTGTTACAAAAAATAGAAATAGAAGGAAAACTTCCAAACACTTTTTATGAAGCCAGCATTACCTTTATTCCAACACCAGACAAAGACCCCACTACAATGGAAGACTATAGACCAATTTCCCTGATGAACATGGATGGAAAAATCCTCAATAAGATAGTAGCCAAATAGATCCAACAGTACATCAAAAAAATTATTCACCACAACCAAATGGGATTTATACCTGGGATGCAGGGCTGGTTCAATATCCACAATCAATGTGATTCATCACATCAATTAAAGAAAGTACAAGAACCACATGATCCTCTCAATGGATGCAGAGAAAGCATTTGACAAAATACAGCGTCCTTTCTTGATAAAAACCCTTAAGAAAGTAGGGATAGAAGGAACATACCTCAAGATCACAAAAGCCATATATGAAAGACCCACTGCTAATATCACCCTCAATGGGAAAAAACTGATAGCTTTCCCCTCTAAGGTCAGGAACACAACAGGCATGTCCACTCTCGCCACCGTTATTCAACATAGTATTGGAAGTCTTAGCCTCAGCAATCAGACAACACAAAGGAATAAAAGGCATCCAAATCAGCTAAGAGGAAGTCAAATTTTCACTCTTCACGGATGACATGGGTTTTCTATATGGAAAACCCAAAAGATTCCACCAAAAAACTGCTAGAATGGATCCATGAATTCAGCAAAGTCGCCGGGTATAAAATCAATGCAGAGAAATTGGTTGCATTCCTATATACCAATAATGAAGCCATAGAAAGAGAAATCAAGGAATTGATCCCACATACAATTGCACCAAAACCCATAAAATATCTAGGAATAAACCTAACCAAAGAGGTGAAAAATCTATACACTGAAAACTATAGAAAGTTTATGAAAGAAATTGAAGAAGACACACACACAAAAAAGGAAAAATATACCATGCTCCTGGACAGGAAGAACAAATATTGTTAAAATGATAATACTACCCAAAGCAATCTGCATATTCAATGCAATCTCTATCAAAATAACACCAGTATTGAGGGGGGCAAGATGGCGGAGAAGTAGGGAGCTCCATACATTTCTCTCGCCCCCATCTCTCAAACAGAGAAGGCCTGAAGCCATAGGACACTGAACTGCAGGAGTCTGGGAGGAAAAGAGACAGAGTTCACTAAGAAGAAAACCTCATAGGTGCGTGAGTGCGAACTGGGGAAGAAAAAAATGTGCTGGGACCTGGAGACACGGAGGGAGGGGAGGGAACCCCCTTTGCAGGGAGCTGAAGAGAGTTAAGGGGAAAAGAAAGAGTGTTTGAAACTACTCATAGAACTGTCGCTAGAGAAGAGGAAAACCTCGACCCAGGACAGAGAGGGATCCTATTTCTAGATGTGGTGTTTTCTTTGGGCTGAGTGCCACAGTCCCAGGTGGCGCCAGGAGAAACTGTTCCGCTGCTCTCCCGGCTCAATTCCCAGCTGGGAAGCGGCCTGTCCTGAAACTGCTCTGCTGCTCTCCTGGCTTGATCCCCGGCTGGGAAGCAGCCTGGCCTGGGGGATTACATTTCGGGCTGTATCAATAAAGCACGTGGACTGAGACCTGGAAACGAGGCGAGGCTTGGGACATAGAACACAGCACACCTTGGCTATGCTTGCGGCCCAAGGAGATCAGACCCAAAAGGGTGATTTGCAATGCTAGGTTTGAGAAGGGGCTGGGGCGCCACCATTTTTCTTCCCACAACTACCAAAGCAGGACCTCAGTGGAGGCTAGACCTGCCTACACCAAACTATGCCCATCCCTGCTAGAGAGCTACTTTTTTTTTTTTTTTTTTTACCTAACCCTGGGGCAAGACAAACATGGATGCAATGCTGTGATTAATGCTAGATCAATTCTTTCTATTCAGATACATTTTCCCTTATCTCATTCATATCCCTCCCTTCTGATGGACTGGGCACTCTGGTCATTGGTTTGCTTAAACAGTCACATTCAATCCATCCTCTACATGTATATTCTACACCTCCACCATTACCTTCCTATCGCTCTCTCTCTGGAATAATCAGACTATATAGTTTCTCTGAGTAACACTATCTGTGTTTCTTTCTCCTCGGCTCCTAGCATATTCTCCTTTTTCTCTCTGAATTAAGCCTCTTAGTCTCTCTGCCTTGTCATTGTCCAATTTCGCTTTCTCCCCAACCCTGTCATTTCTCTCTTTGTACATGCTCTTCCATCAGCACTGCATACACTCTGCTCTTTATTTGTACCTTGGAATTCTGGTTTTATGCTTTTAAGACTGTCCTTTGTCTTTTCGGGGTTTTTTCTTTCTTTTTCTTTTTTCCTGTCAGTTTGCATGTTCATTGCATTTGTCTGTGTGTTTGCATGCCTTTGTTCCCTGTGTATTTGTCTCTCTGTTTTCCTTTCCAGGATTACCTCAAGAAACAAACCAAATGGTGGAGAGTCCCAAATACCACTACGAGTAGGGAAATAAAATAACCAAAGTCTCAACAAGAGAGACCAAGAGAAACGACTCAAAGAACACTTCCTGAAGGGACTGGCCATGGACAGTTAATGAGCCTTCTTTAATAAAGTAGTACTTGCAGGTGCAGAGTGCATAACAAGCTTTTAAAACTAACAAGAGGCAGAAAGCTACCCAAAGTGACGAAATGGAAGAACTCTCCTCTAAAGAAATTCCAGGAAGAAATGACAGCTAAAAAACTGTTCAAAACAGATATAAGCAACATAACTGAACAAAAATTTAGAACAACAGTCATAAAATTAATCGCTGGCTTGAAAAAGGCATGGAAGACATCAGAGAAGCTATTGCTACAAAGACAATAGACCTTAAAAATAGTTGTGATGGATTTAAAAATTCTATAAATGAGGTGCATAATAAAATGGAGGTGTCAAATGCACGGATTGAAGAGTCAGAGAGGAGAAAAGGTGCATTAGAAGACACAATTATAGAAAAAAAGGAAGCTGAGAAAAAGAGAAATAAACTGATCAGAAGCACAAAAAGAGAGTTTGAGAACTGAGTAATGCAATCAACTGGAACAATATCTGTATCATAGGAATTCCATAAGAGAAAGAGAGAGGGAAAGGCACTGAAGGAGTCCTTGAACAAATTATAGCTGAGAACTTCCCCAATCTGGGTAAGGAAACAGACACTGAAATCCAAGAGGCACAGAAAACTCCCCTCAGACGTAACTTGAATTGATCTTCTGCATGACATATTATGGTGAAACTGGCAAACCATAAGGACAAAGAGAGAATTCTGAAAGCAGCTAGGGAGAAAAGGGCCCTAACATACAAAGGGAAACCTATCAGAGTGGTGACAGACCTATCTCCTGAAAATTTGCAGGCCAGAAAGGAATGGCAGGAAATCTTCAATGTGATGAACAGAAAAATAGGCAGCCAAGAATCCTCTATCCAGCAAGCCTGTCATTCAGAATAGAAGGAAAGATACAAGTCTTCCCAAATAAACAAAAATTGTTAGAATTCCTCACCACTAAACCAGGCCTACAAGAAATCATGAGGGGGACTCTTTGAGGAAAATGTTGCAAAGAATGCAAGGTACCAGAGACAAAACCACAAGAATGAAACCTACAAAGGACACAATGTAAACCCATAGTTTTCAATAATAACACTGAATGTAAATGGGCTGAATGCTCCAATCAAAAGACATAGGGTAGCAGAATGGATAAAAAAAAAAAAAAACAAAATCCATCTATTTGCTGTCTGCAAGAAACCCATTTTAGACTGGAGGACACCTTCAGATTGAAAGTAAGGGGATGGAGAAATATCTATCATGCTACTGGAAGTCAAAAGAAAGCTGGAGTAGCTATACTTATATCAGACAAACCGGACTTTAAAGTTAAGGCAGTAATAAGAGATGAAGAAGGGCATTATATAATAATTACAGAGTCTATCCATCAGGAAGAACTAACAATTATAAATGTCTACACACCAAATACAGGAGAATAAAACAATCACAAACATGAAACAAACTTAAGGACAAGAATGTGCTAACAGCAGAGGACTTGAATACTCCACTTACAGCAATGGATAGATCAACAGGAAGAAAATCACTAAAGAAAAAATGGACTTGAATGACACACTGGACCAGACGGATTTGACACATATATTTAGAACTCTACATCCTGAGGCTATGGTTTTCACTTTCTTCTCATGTGTGTATGGCACATTCTCTAAGAGAGATCACATACTGGGTCATAAAGCAGCCCTCAATAAATATAAAAAATAGAGATCATACCATGCACACTTTCAGATCACAATGCTATGAAACTTGAAGTCAGTCACAGGAAGAAGTCTGGAAAACTTCCAAAAACATGGAGGTTAAAGAACACCCTACTAAAGAATGAATGGACCAATCAGGCAATTAGAGAAGACATTTAAAAATATATGGAAACACATGAAAATGAAAATACAACAACCCAAACTCTTTGGGATGCGGCAAAGGCAGTCCTAAGAGGGGAGTACATTGCAATCTAGGCCTATTTCAAGAAATTAGAAATAGCGCAAATACAAAATCTAACAGCACACCTAACGGAACTAAAAGGAGAGCAACAAGAGCACGCCAAACCAGTGGAAGAAGAGAAATGATAAAAATCAGGGTAGAAATAAACAATATAGAATAAAACAAAAACAAAAACAAACAGTTGAACTTATCAATGAAACCAAGAGTTGCTTTTTTGAAAAAATAAACAAAATAGACAAACATCTAGCCAGGCTTCTCAAAAAGAAAAGAGACAGCACTCAAATAGACAAAATCATGAATGAAAATGGATTTATTACAACCAATCTCTCAGATATACAAGCAATTATCATGGAATACTATGAAAAATTATATGCCAACAAACTGGACAACCTAGAAGAAATGGACAAATTCCTAAACACACA